ATATTGAATAATTCCAAAGGAAAATTCATCTACACAATGTTGAAAGATATTATTTATATATAAAAGAAAGAATTGGCAAAGGATGAAGTAATGAGAGTAATCTGAAATTAAATATAAAATTTGTACATAAGAAGACAAACCAAATGTTAGAAAAATATAAAAATGCCAAGCATATAAAAGAAATGTAACAACAAATGTTAATATAATATAGGGGTTACACAATATAATTAAGCAAGATAATTAAATAATATAAACAAGTAGAAATGTTTCTTAAGATCTTGTATATGAAGCAGGAGATTCTTTGAAGTTATAATATGTCTGTATTCACATTATCATCGGAACTGCAAGCCCAATTTTGAAATACCTAATAATAACTTCATGCTTTAACTTGTGCAAAATTAGTTGTTGAAATGACAATTATGATTCATCAAAATGAGGTCTGAGGTCTTGTATTTCTAACAACCTTGAAGGAGATGCTGAGATTGCTTGTCCATGGACTTCACACTGAATAGTGAGAGTCTATGTTATTTGAGAAAAAAATAAGTCAGATTTATTTAAAATTGCTGGTATTACTGTTTTTAAAGGATAGTTCAAGTTTCTGGATTTTCAAATGGCATATAAATAATAACATCTTTATGAAGCTCAAATGCTCAGCTATGTTCCTTTGTTTAAAAAAAAAAAACCCAAAAGGTTTGAAACAAGGAGAGGAAGAGCAACTCGGTGTGTATATGTGTGTTTGCATTTGTGTATGTACTTGGGTGCAAAGTGGAACCTGCCAATGTGCTCTACCCTAAGAGAAGTGTGTCAACAACTCTCCTGTGACTATCCCCAATTTGGACTTGAATTCATCTAAGCATATAAAGTTTAGAGAACTGTCAGGTTCAAATATACCCTATCTCTGAGGTTAAGCCTCAGCTTATTTCACACATTTCAACAGTTTCCATGTGGATGCTGCCAAGGTTGCCTGGAATTTGGAGATAAGCCCAGGATTAGTCCTGCTTTAAAGTCATCATGAAGCCTTGTTATAGGCCTCAAGTTAAGTTGTTAAATGTATTTCTGAGAGCTTACCGGGGGAAGAAGTCACAGCTTCCCTTACTTAATAAACTTCAAATAGCAGAAACACAGAGGTGGTTGTTGCAAATACCTTCCTGTGTTTAGAGATGGAAGGCTTATTTTCTAAGGCTGAAACAATATTCTTTTTACAAATCTTGCTTCACGAAAAATATGTAAAATTAGTACTACTGGATAAAGTATTGGCTTTAAAAATTCTTTCAAGAACTATTTCAATCTTATTCAGGCAAATTTAAGGAATTAATTGGTAATAATGCAGAATAATTGCAAAATTATAAAATATTTTAATGTTTTTCTTTATTGTAAAACTGGAAAATTGCTGTAAATTTTACATTTGTTGGAAATAGAGATTCCAAATAATACCACAGTTCTGTCAATAAAAAGGCTAAAACATTGGCTTATTTTTTTCCATCAGGCATTGCTATTTTATTGACCCAGGGAACATAGTATATAAGGCAGAAATATTTGATAGTGTTATTAACATTTTATTACTTTTGGCTGAAGGATACTGCAGAATATTTGGAACAAGTGTAGTGCAAAGTTGTTAAGTTGTATACTGTACTGACTGGGATTGGAATGTATTTCTGAAGATCAAAAGTATAGAACTTTAGAAATAATTTCCTGAAAAAAATTTCCTTTATCTTCCTCCATTTACATTTTCCAAACCTTTTTAATCTGACTTTAAAGAGTTGATGAAAAGAACTTTATGATTTACAAAGTTCTAATTTCTGAGATTATAAAAAAGAGCATAAATTAATTACACCATTAACAGCACAGTTATAATACAATGAGTATAGATGATTTCCCTATTTTAGAGGGCCTGTAAACCAGAAATGTCCTATGGTAGTTTCTTTCTCTGTGATATTGAAAATAATCTTGCAAGGATTTCTGCTAAGCACTCATTAAAGACCACTTAGATAATTTAGATAAACATGATCTTTTTAAATTAAATTCTTAGAAGTTTTATTTCAAAATTTGTAATAGCTTATTCGTCATGTTGGAGTTTTCCATTTTAAAGCAGTTCCAGTTTTTCCAATACATTATGAATGACCATGATTAATCTTCACATATTCTCTAACTTAGTGTTTGTGTAGATAGATGATAGATAGACAGGTGGACAGACAGATAGATAGGCAGATGACAGGTTTCTGTGAAGTAGAGTTGATGAAATTGAGAGGATCTCATCAAAAAAGTAAGGGGACTGTTTACATTAGAGTAGTAGGGAGCATTTGGTGGTAGAAATCAACAGCTGGGAGCAATTACTCTCCTGTGTGGTATACAATTCAGCCAGCCATCCACTCCAGCTTTCCACCAGAGGCTCCCAAGGGGGAGTTGCCATCTTTCTCCCCATTGTGATAGAAAGGCTAAGATTCTAAGAAGTTAGCTTACTCCATGTCATACAGTTAGTAATAGGTATTAGACTGTGACCAGGGCTCATTATGGTAATTCTTCACACTTCCCATAACTCAGAAAGCAGCAGTGATGCTCCTGAGGTTCACTCAAGACCTAACTGATTTTATCAAAGAAAGCTTACAATACAGACAATAATTTGGAAAGAGGGTAATTCTTACTTCACACAGCCTCACAATTATAAAGTATTACAAAAGATTACAGAAGTGTTTTTCCTTTGATTTTCTGCAGTTGCTGGAACCGAAGGACTAGTGCATGCTAGCCAAGGGCTCAACATCTGAGCTATATCCCCAGCCCTTTTTCGCAATTTTGAGACAATGTCCTGTATGTTGCCCAGGCTGGCCTGGATCATGGAACCTGTGATCTCCCTGCCTCAACCTCCTGAGTAGTTGGTATTACAGGCATGTGTCACAGAACCTGGATCTATAGAAATGTTTTAAAAATCATTTATTTCTTTCACAATATATTTTTGCCTTTGATAATAAAATAACACTTTCAACTTGTTGATTTATAGGAAGAGAATCTAAATGAAAGCTTGACCAAAGCATTAAAAATAGTAACTATCCTTAAAAATGTCCAATACAAAAGTCAAAAATCACCATTACTATGTAAAATAATCCTTTATGTGTTGTACTACTTCACTAATAGTGAGTGCATTGACAGTCAAATTACTTCCTCGGTAATATTACAAGAAAGATGGTTCACAGAAGTTGATACTGTACCAAAAATGATAGCAATTTGATGCAAAAAGAATGGAGGTGTCATTATTTTATCCCCTTTTGCAGACTTTCAGTTAAAAAATGGCTCTGAGAAATATTCATTAAAGAAATGTTCTCCAAACAACATTTTTTGTTACCAAGTAATTCTTACTGTTTTGCCCCCAGGTCAAAATTCTGCTATAATAAATGGTTTAGTAAAACAAAGTTAATTATGGAGTAGTTTATTGAAAGATATATTGCCTTATTTATTATGGTACCAGTCAACCAAGAAGACCATTGTTTTGGTGATCTATAGTTCTAGATCATTGCTATTCTCTCTCTCTCTCTCTCCTCTCTCTCTCTCTCTCTCTCTCTCTCTCTCTCTCTCTCTCTCTCTCTCACATGCACACACACACACAAATATATGTGTGTGTGTGTGTATGGGTTGGTGCGTGTGTATGAGTGTAACAAAGAAAGTTTTAGCTTTACTAACACATTAATTGGCTATTTTTAGCTCAGGTAATAATGACTTCTTTGAAAAAATTAGCCTTAATCGCCGTCAAATGAAATGGCTATGCTATTTGAATTGGCTTTTAAAGTGTCTAAAAATTTCAGTTGTGGAATGTGACACATATTCTCAGGTGGCTTTGAAGGCCTATCTGCCTAAGAAACGCAAAGCAAAACCTTCTTTGAAATAAGCCAAAATGATGAAGTTGATAGTTTATGTCCTCAAAGAATAATGTTGAACAACCTCATTTTTGTCATATAAATTCTAATGCCTGCCAGACAACTTTTGAATCAGCATTTAAAACAAATCACTGAAGAATAGAACTCTGTAATAAACACCTTAAAATTAACACAGTAACCAGTATTTTATAGAAACATTGAATACTATGATGTTTCACTGAGAATTAAATTTTTACAGTTTAGTTAACCCATATGATCTCGATATTTTCTCTTTTGAGACATAAGGATAATATTCAAAACAAATAATTTTATTGTGATTCTTTCTTACAGGTGTAAAGCGAAGCTCCTTATGAACTATGAGAGAGAAAATTATATTGGCAAATAAATGAGTATCATTTTGAAGGCTTCCTCTCTCCTTCCACAAATTGAGAAAGATAGACTTTGTTGTCCCTGAAGTATTAACTAATAATGTAAACCATATAGGATGAAGTCTTCCTCTTAGAAAACTTTCTATAATATTATGCACTGTTTCATAAACCAAATGATGTTTCACTAGAATGATAAAAAATTTAAAAACTTGGTCAAATTTTCTAATATATAGTTCTACAAGATTGTCTTTATTATTGTTCAGATAAGGTATATAATGGCTAGATTTGCCAAGTAAAAATATCTATATGTGTTCCTTATAATTTCGAATATTCGTGAAGTTATACCAACAGCTTAAAAAATATATCATAGCAATAATAGTACAGTGGATATACTTTTCAGTAATAGGAACAGACTTTAAATTTCTACTGGAATGTGCTACCATCTATATGTACTTACAAAACTATACTTTTCAATTTTTCTCCTGAAGTTGAAAGAAGTATTTGAGGCATTTTGCCAATATCTGTCTAATTTACAACAGAAATGCAGTGCAAATTCCTTATGGTTCCCCAAATGATACCAATAGTCACTCATTAAGTTTCTTTTGCAATTGTCCAGCTTTTTCTGAAATCACAATATAGATTCAACTCCATAATTGCTTTTCAGTTGGGATCAGAAAGAATCTTTCACTATCTGCCTTTTTAAGGGCCCTTAATCATTCTGTGGATGATAACAAAATCAGATAAAATGTTATCAACTGCATCTTACCTCTATCACTGAAGTCATCTACTAGAATGATTTCTGCTATCAGACTCTCTGGGGTTCGGTTAATTATACTGTGTATGGTTCTCAGGAGTGAAGTCCAACCTTCGTTATGAAATGGGATAATGATGCTGGTGTTTGGCAGCCTCTCCAGGTACATCTTGTGCTTACAGCTGTAGATGATGGAGGAAGAAAAAAAGCTATGTCAAATGCAAAACTGTAATATAGCTCATCTGCTATTTAGTGACTGTTATCAAACAATGGTGAAAAAAATGCCTTTGTGTAATACTTTTCCTACCAGAACTTGTACATCATAATGGTTACTTTCATCATTCATGGATTTTTAATGAACGCTTTTCACACTCATTCTTAATGAAACAATTACTTTATTCTCTTTGTATCTGGGGCTCAAATAAGTCAAGATGTTAAAATGTTGTGCTCTTGTTAGTAAAAATTTTCCTGTTGTTATATCATAGAATTATGGATTAATGATATGATTTAAAATTGTTTCCACTGAGTCCGTAGTTAAGATTTGTATGGGTTGCCTGAAGAGTTTTGAAAATTTAACTTCTATAGTAATTATGCTGTTTTGATTGTGAAGTGTTTCACAGTATGCTGGACAGTATGGCTCTGTGACGGGAGGAACCTACAGTTTTTCAGTGGAATAAATGAAAAGTTAATACCAAATGACCATTTACTGAATATAAGCACATGGTAATGTCACATTAAGATCCAAACCATGACATGATTACATTCCAAATGAAAATTTTTTTTCCAAATGAAAATTTTGAAAAGAAATCTCAAGTTAATTTTTTCATTATGAAGTAATCTGAGAAACTAAAAATGATTTTTATCCTGCTCCTTTATGGCTTATTTATACACAATTTTAACAATCAAACAAATAGATTTTTTATATTTTAAAAGATGAATAAAGACTTGGAAAAACTATCAAATTGATGCCATGATATGGGTATACATATGCTGTAAAATTATGAAACTTGCGTTAGGATAACTTAAATAATCTGAGACAGAACTCAGTAACTTCCAAAAGTGTAGTAAGACAGACGCCTTCATATATAATGAACACATCTGGAAAATACTGTCAATGCAATTCAGTACACCTTGGTCATAATTATACAGGGCTATTTATTCTTCTGAACAAAGCAAAAGGCCCAAGATCATTGTGCTCCCATATATCAATATTCAGGATAATTGCACCTATTACACAAACCATCGTATCTCACAGTATTCTGGGAGTGCAACTGATATTTCCAAGAAGGCAAATTATTTTTAAACATTAAAACAAGATATTGTACATAACAGTTGCTTATTAATTAAATAAGAACTTCATTAAGAATAATATCTATAAATAATAAATATGCATATTACTTTATGAAGATATTTACCAACCATATAAGATCTAGTCAGAAAAAAACCCCAGACAAAATGGTGGCAAGACAAATCATATCCAATAAAAGCTTTATCTCTTTAAAATGCTTTCAATAATTTCTGTCTGCCTGAGCTTAAATTTTTACCACACATGAAATGTGAAAGGAATTTTTCTATTCATTCATTCATCCATCCATCCATCCATCCATTCAAGTCACAATGGTTTACTGAAGGTCTGATATGAGCCAGAATACAAAGTTGAAAACAATAATCAAAACTTAGTTCTTAAAAAAACCCCTTAGTTCTTAACTTAAAGATATTTGTAATACAATGAGAAATACAGAGTGAGAAACAGTTTAAATTTTAAAATTAATGTATAATGCAGAATTTTAATAGAGAACTATAGGAATATTTGACAGCCGATTTGAAAAGTGTGGTAGAATATGAGAACTGAAAGTGGCGTATAGAAGACAGGTTCAAAGTATATTTAAAAATAAAATTGTATGACTTAGTGAGTGCTATTGTAAGTGTGAGCAGAGAACCAGCTAAATGCATTTTCCCATTTCTGAAAAATGGGAAGATCTCAAGTTCTGGAATACATTAATACCACTGTAGCAGGTATTAACCTGTAAAAAATGGAAGCTGGGGAATATCCTTATAGTGGGAAGGTGTGATAAATCTGAAGTGCTCTCTTATCTCCCGGAGATTCCCAGCAGGACTGAACTTCAGTTTCCACAGTGATAAGCAGCTTGATTATACTTTTCTTGGGTACTTCTCCTTTTTAAGTCTATTTCTTTACATTCTTCTCTGTTCCTCAATATTTGTTGAGATTATTCTGCAGGAAGAGAATAATTCTAAAACTATTGCAGTCAGTTCTATTGTCTCAGGATCTATTTTTAGGGAAAATTCAATCTTAAAACATATTAAATGATACTGTAGTTGGTAAGGACATTCTCTTGATTCCAACATGATGGTCAAATTTCTTTAAGCAACATTTTTTTTGGTAAGCTATGAGCTTGCAGATTGTTATACCTGGAGATATTTTGAAATAAGATTTTAAGAAATTATGACATAAATTTCATGATTTTTTCAATGTTTTAATTATTACTTTTGCCCTATTCAGTCTTCTCAATGTGAGGAAGTACAATTATCAGGATCTCACAGAGTACTTACATATAAGCAGCCTCTTGTAAAATAGTGGACTATTAATAGTCAAGTAACCTTCTTTATATAAATATCTGTATTTTATTTTTTTCATTTAGGCTACATTACAAACTACTGTTTCAGGTCTGATAGTTATTTCTAGATCATTGAATAAGTCACATTTTAGACATCATATAATGTAGGTTCAAGTCATCTTTGCTACTTATTGTGTGACAATAGACAAGTTATTTAACTTCTGTAAGTTTCCTCATGTGTAGTAATATGGGAGAAAAATACTTTGTATTGGGTTAAATTAGTAATCTATGCAAAACAGTGTAGCATTATAGCTGACCATAACACTGGTCTGATAAATGCTATCATAATTCTTGCTGATATTGTTGTTATTTAATTGTCTTTCCTTGACCTGTCAAATCCTCTATGAAAAGAGGTAGAGAAGTAGGAGAGACAGAAATGGCATAAGGGAAAGTGAGAGACACTTAGGATACAAAGATGTATAAATTACAGTCTCTTCCCTTAAGGGTTCACAGACCAGTGGACATATACATAAAATGATTAGATTCAAATGAGACAAGTGACATAACAGATGGCACACGGGCAATGTGAGCCTGAAGCAAGTGTAACTAAGTTTGTCTGAAAGAATTACAGGAGCCTCTGTAGATGAGTCTGTAGGTTGAAAACAGATCATACAAGATCTTGAAAGTGACTCTAAGGAATTTAGATGTTAGCCTGCAGTCAACATGAAGTATTTCAAATACTGTTAATCATGGCGACAATGGGACCATGTTTATATATTCCTGTATCAGAAGGGTGGATAATTCATTGAAGATGGCAGAGACTAGAAGCAGAGGGAATAGATTATAACAGTTCTGGCAAAAAATAATGAGAGTGTGGATCTGATTTTTTTACTCACAAGAAAACCAACCTTTTGTAACAGTATATAATTTATTTGCATAATATTTAATCATTCTAGCAACTAAGCTGTTCCAAATTGAATTCACTACCAAATTCTGGCACTGGATTTGAGCAGTTGTGATCCAGATGACTGCTCCTCAGCATTACTAGAAATATTGAAGAGAATCCAGGGAATTATTAAAGATGTACACCTGTGTATTTTAGATTTAATGTCAAGTCAGGATGAGAATGGAAGTTTATTAAATATGAAGATTATCTATCAATATGAAATTGTATTTAAGTACTACATAAAAAGGGTTTAGGTGTGTAGCTCAGTGATAAAACATAGTATGTAGAGGGCTTAGGGTTCAAGGTCCAGTTTCAAAAAATAAATTTACAAATCTAAATAAAGTCAAAGACAATTTACATGTTTATGGCTACAAATACATACCAAATTAGCAAGTGCAAAATCAATAAAAATAAAACATTTTTTTCAGTAAGTTTATGGGGATGTGGGTAAAATTGCCTATAATTGTGGCATTTAATATTACTGTAGTATTTTCAAATAAGAATTTGTGTAAAATTAACTCAGAATTTAGGAATGCCTTGGAAATGAGGACATCTCTTTATTGAACAATGATTTATATTAATGGTCAGAAAATTTTAAATGCATTAGAAAGACAAAAGAAATACTTTAAGCCCCTTAAATGTTTACTTGAGAGACGTGATAAATCATTTAGCTATTTTAAAAGTGGACCTACAAATCTCAAATTTATTAATAAACATTCTGCTGAACACTTCACAGTAATGCAAGTAAATTCCAATAGTAAATTTCTCCTATTTTTACGTTTTTAAAAAGTATAGCAAATTTCTAAAACTCTATATTGACATTTGTTGAGCCAAGAGGTTTTTAAAAGTATAATTAGTGTAAGAGTATTGTTTACTTCAAAACATGCCTTTCATGATAATGTTAATTTATCCTTATTATTTCATTGATTTTTTGCATAAGTATTTTTTCAACAATAGGAGGATGTCAAAAATAAATGTTAACTACAAATGCATGAAATAAATACCAGACTTAATTTACTTTTTGTCTAAAAGTTTTATTCAAGTACCAATGTGAAATTTATAGTGTAGGCATTTAGATAAACTTGGATTTGTGTTTCATAAGAATCCTCATGTGCTCTTCATTGTCACTTAAATGCTCCTTCTCACTTCCTATACCTGTGTATTTGGTTTTGGAAGCTATGTCAAAACTACACCCAAATTCAAACAAACTCTGGGATTATAAATTTTGAGTAAGGTGCTCACATACAGGCATCTGTATATGTCAATCCTTACATCACTTTGTTAGCTTATCCAAATATGGATTTATTTCATGTAGTGTACTGTGTTTTGTTTTCTTTCTGCTTATATAACAATATGAGTCAGGATAAAATGTCAAGTTATAAATATCCTTGCTTCTGTTTTCTTTATCTACCCAGTATTTGTTGGCAGGAATGTCTCCGCTCATTGCAGTTAGTGAAAATTGCCAAAATCTTGAGTCTTGTCATTGGGCCGGGTTTAATGAGAACAAGGATGGTTCTCAAGCTGGTGACTAAATGATCTGGCCCCGACTGCAGCTCAGTGGTCAGAACCAGTCACGCAACACAAGGATTGGGATGTAAAGTCCTCTGGTTCTATAAGAGTACAATCAGAAATATTTGACAAATGGCACTAATAAACATAA